AGAGTGGTGTCGTCAGCGTAGGCTGCTAGCTCCATACCTGGTGGGAGGTGGTCCTCGCCATCATTGGTGTAGAGGATGAACAGGGTGGGGCCAAGGATACTGCCCTGCGGCACGCCAGCTTTGGTCGGGTACGGACTGGAAAGTTCACCTCCAACTGCAACCCTCAAGTGACGATCAGTCAGGTAATCCCTCAGCCAAGCGAGAAGTGGACCAGTTACACCATAGCATTGTGCCTTGTGCAAAACGCCTACATGAGAGACGCGGTCGAATGCGCCAGCCACATCAACTGCAATGACTCGAAATACACCACCTCTGGCTGCAACGCGACTCCATTGGTAGCGTGAGTATGTCCTGGGTGCCGAGTTGGCTGCGGAAGCCATACTGACTTTTCGATAAGATGTTGTGTGCCTCCAGGAACTGTCGGATTGAGTGGTTAATAATGGCCTCCATGACTTTTGACAGAATAGAGAGGAGGGAGATCGGGCGGTAGTTCTTAACCCTTTATGTACTGAAAAAATGTACACAGACTGAATTTGATCTCGACTCGCCTCAAATTCCATAATTCTCCGGGTCATAACTTTGGTCTCCTTTTGACGATTTTTTCAATCTTGAGCTTCCTGGAAAGCTCGTCGCAAGAGGAACACATTGAGCCCACACTTGCCACCACGGAGGTCAAAACTCCAGCGCTACAGCCCAGCGTCTTAGTTGCAATGCCAATATTCCGACAGAAGTCGTCTTGCATCAGCCATTTCGCTCTCCTTGCTTGTAACAACTAATTTTTACTTCCAAAAAATTTTTACTATCTGCCACGAGTCCGTTTGCCATTTTGAATATGTTTCTACGTCACTGGATGCCCAGAAAGATGGGAAAATCCCTAATTCAAATCTGCGCACGCGGCTATTGAGCGACAATTGCCGCGATTTGACTTTCGAGCTTCGTAACTCTGGAACCGCACATCAGAGTGTTTCTGCGATTGTTTCAATGGACAGCTGGGAGTTTTCTCTTCGACCTACATAATTTAGGTTTTGGAAATAACCCAGAAATGACTGAATTACGATCGATTGAAAATTTGAAAAGTTTCGATCCCAGGGGATCGAAAGTTGTACAGTCCGTACACAAAGGGTTAACATCAGACTTGGATTTTTTCTTGTGCACCGGCACAACCATTGCCGTCTTCCACATTGTAGGTTGCCGACCTTGGTGGAAGGCCTGCGAAAAGAGCCGTGACACTGGTGCAGCCAGCTCTTTGCTGCATTGCCGGAGTACACGCCCGGGGATGCCATCTGGACCCGTGGCTTTGGCGGGGTGGAGTTGCCTCAGCTTCCGCTCAACCGTGCTTGGCCGAAAGTGGACATTGCGGAGTTGGGCTTGAGATCGGGGGCGGACTGGAGGGAGGCTGTTGGCTTGCAAGTCGTTGTCACCAAGACTGCACTTTGCGGAGAAATACTGCCCGAATGCTTCGGCCTTTTCGCTGCAGGTGGTGTGCTCAGTTCCAGGTATGTCTGCAGAGCGGTGTCCTTGCCCACCTGCTCGCTTGACGGTTGTCCACCATTGTCGGCTGGAAAGGGCACCTTCTCTTATCTTTCGGCGGATACTGGTAGTGTGCGCTTGCTTGGCTCTGTGCAGACAGTTTGTTGCTTCACCTGTTGCCATAGAGTAGGCCAGCCGCAGGTGTGCATTGTTGGGCGAAGATCGGTGACGTCGCCAGGCACGTTGCTTCCTGTCAACAGCTTCCTGGCACTCAGGTGACCACCAGGCTGGGTGTCCCCGGCGTAGCTTCAGGGTTTTGGATGGAATGAATATCTGCATGCCCTCTTTGATCTTCTGTGTAAGTTTCGCACAAGAGACGTACGTCAATGCTGTTGTCATCAGTCAACACCCAGTTTGTGGACCGAAAGAAAGCCCGTTTCGGCAAAGTCGTGTCAGAGTGTCTCGGGAATGAAACGTGGCCTTGCAGCTCAAGTTACTGGTCAGCTGCACGGATATCAGGTCGGAGTAGCCATGTTCAATCAGGGCCTCAGCAACTTCGAGGGTTTTCGTGTGCAGTGGAACGTGGAAAATCCCCGTGTTCCTCTTTAGAACTTTCGGAGAGACCGAATTCCAACTGCGATTTTCACCGGACGTGGGCATTTGGAACGCTCTAACTATCTACTACCTAATTTTAAACTATCCAGCCCCTACCCTGCTCCAGACCGGCCTGCTGCCGGCTGGCTCCTACAAAACCTGCGAAAAACTACGGAGCTCAAAAAAAGCTAACTGCACTATACTGTGACGTCTACTGATCTTTCTTGTTCTTGTAGGCCTTGATAAGTGCTGTAAACGCTGCAGAGTCACCGTCATCTGCAGCAAGAAACATACATTAAATGGTGCTCAGTGCAATATCGATTTGATGTGCGTCAGCACAAAGTGCACCGTAAATCCAGGGATAAATCCCTAGATCTAGGTGGAGCACAGGAATACACAAGTCTTGCAGCTCAACAGGAAGAAAGGCTTTTCTAATCACATTGTTGTACCGCCATGCACGCACGGCGGTACAACAACATGATGTGTGCGTGCTGCAAGTTGGCACTTGCTGCAACGAACTCTGCATTTAAAGCGTTCCGGCAGCAAGTCAGCAATTGCTTTGTATGGCAGTGATGAGATGCCGTACAGTTTCATCAGGGGAATATCCATGCCAATTGTTGCATCGTCTAAATGCAGACTGGATGAGGCTGGAGCTACATGCATATTCAGTCCAGCACTGCGCTTCCTCGGCCTGCCACCTTTTGACTTTTTGTCTATTTCAACACAAAATGCACAATCACTGTCAGTTCTGGAGTGAGGCAGCCAGGTTTAAGGGACCCACAGCCAGCAGAGGACGGCACATTTTCATTAAAACCTTTATGTTCACATTTGGAACACATTGCTGGGGGGGGGGGGGGGATTTTTTCGTTATCACACACCACATTAATACTCAGCACCGATTCAATGGCTTTCGCATGATCTCTCACCGCCTAACCTGCATACCAGCTGTAACTTTTCTTGGTGTTTTTCCATTTCAAATCCACTCAATAAATAACAATTTCCGCTAAATGTTGCTAGAGATTTGGCCCCAGCGGGGCCAACAAGGAATCAGCGGTGCCCCAGCAGTAACAAAAAACAGCTACACAGATACTCTTCTCCTCGGCAAAACTACCCTTGACGTGACGAAAACTCGTTGAGCACCTCAAGGAGGCAACAAACTTCGGTGACTAGAACGATCGAACGGCAACAAATTTCCATGAAGAATGGCTTTTCTTAGCGAAGGAAAGTTTAAATTCACTACTTTTTTCTTTGGCGAAGCATGGTCAGGATGTTGCGCAACTGTAACCGCGAGGACAGCTCGACGCGGTGATCAGAAGTGGTGCTTCGAAGACCCCACTGAGCAGATATTGCGTTCAAAATACACCTCCTTGAGTACAAATTTTGACCGTTGAGAACGGGAAAGTCCCGGGAAGTGCCATCTCCTGTACAAAAACCAAGTGGGCCTGTTTTGTACTGTCATAACAGCCGTGTATGGGTCAACTCAATCAAATTCGTCTCTCTCTTATGTCACAAGGATTGTTGGCACCGGGCCAGTTTCAGGATCCAATCACACACACCGACAGACCATTTCAAAAATATAGACGCATGGTATTTTTGAAATATTTCAAATTTGGCTTGAGCTTTTTGAGAATTTTTTTCAGAATATTGCTTAGGTACTTCCCCCAATTACTCTCATACTGTACAGATTATGAAGCGATCACACTACAAACACCCAAATTGGAAATTTTTGTGCTCGAAATGATTACAGATTTTATGTGGTATAGATGCAGGCCTAACGGTTTTCTGAAATCACGCGTCTATATTTTTGATACGCACTGTTCGATTTGTAGGCACAAATGCAGAGCTTCGTTCATAGTGAAATTCGAGTTGTTCAGGGAAGGAAATGCTTGTTCTTTGGGAGTGACAAGGATTGTCAGCACAACTTTCTTTTCAGATGGGATAGATGTGACCATGATGCAGTGTTTGGCGTGCTGCCGTCTGGTTATAAGTTGCACTCGCAAATATTTAGCTGGATTCACAGAAGCATTATTGCGATGCTATGCGCTATCCTACAGCCACGAAACCTAGAGATCCCCAAATCGTAGTCATCTGGCAGCCCGCAGAACTGCCGCAACTGGGCAGTTGCGCAACTGGGCAATCGCGATGTGACAAGCGATGTGGCGCACCATTTCCACTTTTTTTCTGCAGCAAAGCTGTGGAAAGGTGATCAATTGCCAGTGCTGCTTTACTGAGTTGTTCGGTTTTGCATGATTTTAGTTTCCCCTTTTTGGTGATCTTCGCATATTTGAGCCGCACAAGTTGTGTGGGATGTTGCTTTGCGCCCTAGAATCGTGGTTTGACCATATTGTCCAATGGTCTTGCCAGTATCGTCATCGACATGCATGTACATCCGCCAACGTCCTTCACATCTGAGACTTTCAGCTTGTCTTGGTTGCGCTCACCTTCCCCTCCTATCTCATCATTCTGACCTCCAAGTTGGAAGGCTCTTGGAGTGCGCATCCAAGATGTGCTAGAGCTGTTAGCCAGTTAGTTGTAGAACGTCAGTACCGTCGGTCAGTGTCGTGCAATGTTGTCGCATGAGCTGATTGTTTAGTAACTGGTTGTGTTCATGGACATTATAGCGTAACTTGTAGGTCCTTGGTCCATTTTCCTTTCTGTAAACATAAACTTTCAAAGGCCTATAGCCTCGGTATGACTGGCTACATCCCTAGAGTATTTGTCAGGCCCAACCCCACCTTATAGCCAAGCCACATTGCATTGCTGAAATGATTACATGCGGTGATGGTTCAAATTAGTCAGGCAAGGAGCCAAAAAATGAAACAGAAATTCATATTTTTTCATGTCACTACCTTGCGGTCTGCACGCTTGGGTGCATGTGTATTTGTGGCATGCATGTGTCTGCGTCTGTATTCGTGCGCTCGCTTTTTTACTCTTAGTGCACACTGTGAAATCCAGATACCACTTCAATGGGCTAGATCTGTTCATTGCTCCAAATGTCAATACTTATCATGAGCAACACAGCTGCCCCGAAGGTACCGGACCAGTTTATGGGGGCACACTCTGGTCTATGAGGCATGACCTATACCAAACTGATCTTCGCAATATCTCATTCATATATGGCCATATGGGCCGATACGCATGGAGATTTATTGGGGTAAGTAGCCAACCTCTAAATGCATCATTCATGTATTTTTAATACTGATATGGGAACCCCTCGATAGGCCTTCCAGGCTCTGGGCAACCCGGAAATGATTACAACCTTGACTTTGATGCCAAGAACAAAATACTACATAGTCGCTGCTTAGAGTACCAGACAGCATCGCTTAGTAGTAGAGCATCGCTGATCAAAGCAATGGTACATGGTTTAAGCCATGGCGTGGGGTCGATCTGTTCCTGAGACCAGCAAAAAGCAAGATGCAGGGCCTAATAAACAAACCCAAATCCACTGCCTTTTAAAATAATAATAATGATAATAATTAAGGAGTGGGTGTTGCTCCCTACATGGGAGCTCGCCCTTTTCCTGCCGACTTGAATTCTCACTTGACTGACTCACGACTGCGACTTCGGCGATACCTGGGGAATTGTGTGATCACCAACCTCTTCTTCACATTGTTGTCCCCGGCGCGGGCTTGCAAATTAGATGGTGTGGAGGCAACAACGTTGTGAATGGCAAACAGTCCTCATCGCTTGTTCAGCACCTCCATGAGCGTTACTGACCCACGCTGCTATCTGGTGTTCAAGAGGTGTTTGTCGTGCTGGAAACGGAGCGTCTCTGTAAGTTTGTATCCCTGGTGATGTTTGTGCCTGGAGAGCACTATATAAGTGGTGCTCTTCACGTATAATCTACCTCTACCTCGGCCTACTCAAGCTAATGAGGGGTGAATTCCCCGAAACACTGTGTATTGAGCAAAGAGTGGTGTCCGCGCTGCGTGCTCAGACAGACTTACTGAATTTGCCGTTTGATCGTCGTTCTGCAGCGCTGTAGTATTTCTCTTCCTCTGTTAGTTCTTTCTCTTCTGTCTGTCAGCGCTTACTGTCACCCAGCGCTGGGTGCAAGCACCCCCTGGCAGATTCATACTACTAGGGATCTCAGCGCGTGCAGTGCGCAGGGTGTTTGCGCATACATTGCGTCATCGAGTTTTGAGTGCAGCTCGCGGACACAGCAGAAAAATGGCGACGGTCGATTTTCGACACTAGGGGACGCGGTGGACATTAGCGGAATCGTCATCTTCATCGTGGTTCGAACATACTTTGTAATTCCCGCCGAAGGACAGCGTGGCCAAGGCGATATTGCCCCGGTCGATTTTCCTATAATTTTCCATGCGGCAAGAACCCACTTCAGAGAGGATTCAGTCAAAAATTCAGACGTTTTCTCCGGTTAGATTTTCCTAACTTCGATTTTCAGTGCATCAGCCATCGCGAACATCGCCGCCATTATCACTCGGAGAGAAGACATCGCGCTCAGTAGAAGAGGTGTTCACGCTGCGTCCAAGAGTGAAAGATTGAGCTCTTTGACCCTCCATAGTTCCTCTGAGAGAGTGTCTGGGAGATAGGTAGCTTGGAGATGAGCGTAGAACGTGCTTTCCTGGACGCAATATTCAGCCATTTCTACTGTCTTCTTCAACTTGATTTATTTCGAAAAAATGTTCTTTTCCACGATTTCTGCACTGGACGCGTTTGGGATCGAAAATCTCACCTGCGCAGACTGGCTGCGCAGTTCACGCGCTGAGATCCCTAATACTACATTGTTCTACTTGATAAATTTATTGTTCTCTCAAACTTATTTCTTCGTTGTGTTCGAACTGTTTTTGAATTATTTTCGTTTCTTTCTTGCCATGTGCCAGCTGCCGAAGTGTGCAGTCGCAGCAGCGCCATTTTTGAATAACTATTATGTCATTGATCCTGTGATCACGAGTGATTGTTGCTAGCGCTAAATCCGCGGATCTGCTAGTGCCTGAGTAGTGGTACGCATGCATATGCTTGGAGTCCGTACATGGTATCCTAAGTTCGTACGCCCATAATTTCATGTTCTGTTATTGTATTCGACTCAAATATGTTATAGAGGGGACAGTGTGGTATGTTCTCCTCGCGTAGCAATTTTCAGGGATCTACGATAAGCAGAAGTCCCATACCCCGCGAGTGGGTTTTCGAGTGTCCATACGAAATACAAATTGGGTTACATTTCATGCAAAAATCAACTTTGCCAAGACCGATTTCGAACGGACACAGCGTCAAACAGACCTTCACTCAATCATCAAGAGCCAGCTTAGAGCTGACAATGGCCAGAGGAGAAGAATTTACAGAGAACCACCAATCCTTGCAGAAAGGTTGACACTCCTGGCATCTCCACCACTGTTTTCCCGCGGTTTTCACAGCGCAGCTGCTTCTTCTCTGAGCCGACTAAAAACAGCTTGCATTTCGGCAACAAACTACGCTTTTGCAAGAAATACTGGTGGAGGCACATGCCAAACATATCCCTTCGGTGCTTTCGTCGTAATCGAGGGATTGCAAGTTAGCAATTAGCAGAAATATGTGTGTATTTCGAGTCACCTCTGATCAGTACGGACCCTCTGCGACACAAAAAAAATGATATGAAAAATCAGCGAACTCCAGAGAAACAGATCGGATCGAAAGATGGCCTGGTTCAATCGAGCCTGGCCTCAGAACAAACTTGGACAATATACCTTCCATCCACGAGCAGGATTCTGGCAAGTGATCATTGTAGTGTGAGTTTCAGCTCGGCAAAAACACACTGTAAAAGTGTACGGACTTCGAGCACCTGGGTCTACGCATGCATAGACCCGGGTGCTCGAATGAGAGACAGGGTACCAAAACAGAAACAGCCTGAAATTGTACCTAAACTTGTTCCGATTTCGTTTAGTTTTCACAAATACCATCAACATACGGCCCGCTAACGGTATGCCAAATTTCAGCGCTGCCCGGTAAACGGTTTTTGAAATACTCGCCACCCACTTTTTGCTGGGTCCTTGATTCGAGGATGTGGGTCTCCTCTACGGTGCTGCCAAAGACCTGCTGAATCTGCGGCTCCACTGACCATCTTGCTCTCAAAAACGAAGTAGTAAGCTACTACTCCCTGCCCTCAACTGCCACACCAAGCGTAGACGATGGTAGACCCGTGTGCTTGAATCGGAGACGATCTGACGAGCTTGCTGTTTCTGATTCGAGCACCCAATTTTCAAATAAAAAATCTGAAGGAAATACGACAATTTTACTGGGTACTGTAGCTTGTGTTGTAGCGCACCCAGGTTCTGAATTCCTGCTGGGTGGGTCAAGCCAGACTTTCTTCCCTGTTCCATCGCCTCTCCAAAAGTATATTCTGACATTGTTGAGATTTACAGATGAGAAATTTCACACCTGTCAAATCGTTTCTGATTCGAGCACCCGGGTCTACGTGTAGTTTGACTTGCCTGCGATAGTTTTCTGTGATCTGCTGTTTTGCACTGGAATCGCACTTGTACTTTTGACCTCTTCACACTTCTTCTTTTGGCAATGCGTGTCCTAAATCTCTCCGCGAAGTTTCCGCTGATCCCGCGTGGGGTTCTCACGCACCGTGCGGCGCAGTACGGAATTTTGCACTTGATTTCTTTTCTTGTATCCTTTTCTGGTTTCCTAGCACCTTTCGGGCCTGTTCCTCTGGGCAAGAAGTAGCCTTGTCTTGGTGGCTTTCTTGTTCATTGTAGAGTTTTTCTTTGGTGCTCATAGAGTTTGCTTCGTCTTTCTTGTCTTATTATCAAATTACACTATCGTCATATACTAAGCACAGCTTTGGAGTGTTTTGGAGTGTTGGCGAAATTACATGGTCCTTCGAGCCGGATTTCTATTGGAGAAATCAAGAACGAACAGCACTAAAGAGTTCGTACGGGACGCTGCTGAGTCACGTAACGAAAGTGTTTTGAAACGCGATCGTTTCTACGTTGGGTGGAAGATCGTTTGGTTTTGTTAGTCATGTCCGTCAGGCGAAACCAGCGGGAGTCACGACGACCGAACTGGTACGGCGTCGACGCGGACATGGAAACGCCCGAGCCCTCGGTGAGGGAATATTCAGCTGCTCCGTCACTCGTGGAGTCTGTTACTAGCGTTAGTACCGTACGCAGGGCTAAACTGGCCGCACAACTCACCTCTGAGGAGAGACTTGCCGATTTACAGCGGCGACAGCACCAAATTGAGGTGGAGAGTGCTGAAAAAGTCGAGGCTATCAGAGTTGAGATGGAGATGGCGGCCATAGAGGAAAGAACGTCTGGTGAGCGTAACACGCATATGGGCACACCGACAAATTTGGCACCTACACCAGCACCTCGAGCCAGAAGTGCGCGTGGGCGTTTGGATAAACCGTCGCCACCGCCGAAACCACCGTCCATGCGGTCAGCGGTCGGCACTGTGGCAGAGAGTGAGGCAGCATCCGTAACCTCTCTGCACCAACAGCTGGATGCACAGCAACGAGAGCACCAGCTTAGGCGCCGGTCACACATGCAGGCGGCGACACCGCTTTTGCGGCTGCCTCCAACACGCTGGCAGTGGGCGTTTGGCGGCTCTTTTCTGCCGGCGGTCACACATGCAAAGGCTTTGGTACGCACGCAGCTTCACGGGTCTCCACAGGTGTCGTAAAACTTTTCTCTGAAAAAGACTGGAGCCTCAAAATTCCTTTCCTGCGCTGGTATGGATCGCAGAAACGCCCAGAATCGCCGACTACGTCGTGACCAGCGACTGCGGAGAGCTATGGAGATTGCCTCAATATTCATGTTGTTCAATTTCTCTTCGTTTGAATCTTGCGGAAGCTCCTTGAGCATCGGTGGACGCCTGAGTCGAGTTCCATGTCGGATGGTTGACCTCGAAATAGAGAGAGAGGCGCAGTTGCTCTTGGTCAGCAGTCCACTTCATGACGAGAGATGAAAAACTAATTTTTCCAAGATCCAAGAGATCCAACAACGACAACGCCGCAAAAGTTGCACTACCGCTTTTGTGTTTCGCCACCAATTTTTTGGTTGTGGCGCTTTTGAGATTGCCGCCGTGGCGCCAGTGGCGCCAGGCGCAGTATCCATGGTGATCCGGGGATATCCCAACTTTTGTGGTGCAGCTTTGGTTGTGTCGCAAAAGCGCCATGCATGTGTGACCGGCGCCTTAAGGAGGCTCCGA